CCATTCTACTTAACTTTAGGTGAAGACTATGTAGACTCTCTTCCTACCAATGGTTGGAGTTTCTATTCCTGATACTGCTTGGTTTTGGACTGAAATTGACTGGCTGTGTATGGTCTGTTATGCCCTATCCACTCTGCGCCTTGGAGCACATCCACTTTAGCTTTCATCATGTTCCTTTCTTTAGATAGTTCTTCTACAGTCTTTCTTCCATGGGATTGAGATTTGAGATTACGGTATACTGTGGTTTGTATTCCAACCCAACCAGTTTTCTCTCACATTTTGGTTGTACTCCTTCGACTTTTCACCAGTGTATGTGACACCTATTTTCACACTCGCACAGAGTTCAAATGGGGATCACAATTCATGAGTGTTTTTCTGACGTTTTTGAAGGATATTTATTTATTTCCTTTGCACCAGTCCCTCCATCCATTCAATGTGGGATTCTAACTATACATGTGAGAGGAGGTAATGTATCATATTGGACGTTATTATTTTCCTATACTGAAAATAGATTTCCAATAGGTATTTACCTAATCTCAAAGTGATAGTTCTGTAGAATTGAATAGAGGTAGTTCCGTGCATCAGGAGGGTGTGTCACACTCTTATTGATGGAGGGTTGTCACATGATGATTTACATGCAAGATTCAGTTGAACCACATTGATTGTGGGTGGGTGGGAGTTCAAGGCTTGTGGCATGCAAAAATATTTTTGCGTATAGAGAGCAGCACTGAACGAGAACAGCTATATGCGTGAGGAGAGGTAAGTACTTATCGGAAATCTATTTTCAATATAGGAAAACAATAACTTTCATACAACTTTTGTTATTATGGAAATCAGCATTTTTCAACCATATTTTTACTGTGTTTTGGAAGACAAACTATCTCCTACTACATTGATGGACAACACAATCATGACATGGCTTCAACTGCTGTAGTAAACAAGACAGAGTTTTTTATGGTTTTGTGTATGTTCAAAATGTATATTGATAGATCATTTTGATTTTGTTAAGTAAAATGGAACCTTTACCACCCTACCCAACTACAGCGGAGTTCAATATCTGGACCAGAGAGGCAGGTGTTGGAAGCTTATCACTCTCAATAGAAGGACCTTCAAAAGCTGAGATGAATTTCACAGACAGAAAGGATGGTTCTTGCTACGTGTCCTACATTGTTAAAGAACCTGGTAAGGATATTTATAACTGCAAATACTCTTTTTTTATGATTTTGAAAGATATTGTAATGAAAAATTCCTGTTGTATCAAACATCTCTTGTGCCTGTTCTCCACGTAAACAGAATAAAATACACAAATGAGTATTTAGGACAGCAGTGGTCTCTGACACCCCCACCCCAACCTGCTTCAGAACAATGCACCATTTTGCAAAATGAAGGCTGTGGCTACAAAAGAGAACTCTCTGACACGGGAATCATTCCAATGAAGTTGGACATATCTCTTGGTGCTTTAAACAGGATAATAAAAAAGTTGATTTGAACAAAGCTTACCAAACAAGAGTTCACAAGCTTCCAGCCACACTTTAAAATCAAAAGTTGTTGAACAAGAGAGATGGATTAAGAAAGCAGAATCAAGTAATCTTATTTGACCACATATCTAAGTTCTTCGATGCAACTTTAGCAGACTTTTGTGTTTTTTACTGTTTAAGTGTGATCTTGGAAGTAGACGTTTATGTGCAGTGGAGTACTTGCAGGAAGCTTATTATGATATGTGGTCTAAAGTTGACTTTGATACATTCTACAAAAATTTGTTAGAATGGAAAATTGCAGTAAATAATCATGGTCAACATGCTGAATATGTACAACTAACAAAGGAAGAAGTAGTTCTGAAGGCAGTACTGGACCTGGAATTTTGTTTTATGAAATGCAGTTATAGCCTCAGCATTTGATATGTGTGGTTAAAGTCAGTGTTTTGTAATATAAAATTCGTTTCAGAGTAAAAAAGAAGCTTGTAAATTGATTGGATATTGATAGTATCCAATATAAAGAAAAGAAGTTAAAAACGTGTTTGTAGTGTTTAGTATCTTTAAGACATTTTGTTTGATTTGGTATGACCTAAAAGCATGGAATGAATATATACAAATGTCTAGTAATTATTTTTCTTTATAGGAGATTATCATGTTGGCATTAAATTCAATGACCAACATATCCCAGACAGCCCATACAAAGTTTATATCATGCCTCCTCCTTCAGAAGAAGCAAAAAATATTGAGTTGGGTTCTATATCTGAAGAAAGCTTTCAAGTGAACAAACCTTTGGCTTTCACTGTTCACATGAATGGTGCCAGGGGTTTGTTAGATGGAAAAGTGATTTCACCCTCTGGGAATGAGGATGATTGTTTTGTGGTTCCAATTGATGATGGTAAGATTTTGTTAAAAATGTTTTATAAAGATAAGAGCTTTAAACTATATGGAATTTGTAATAGTTGTAAACAAAATAAAATATTTTAGAAATTGCATTTTATTGAAGTTATCATAAATTGTCATAATTATAAATTATTAACTCTTTGTGAACTGGAGTAACTAGTGAAGATTTTCTTATACTCGTTAGTTCACTTACAGTTAATTGAATTTGTGTAAACTGTATGAATATTGCTTGACATTTCAAAACAAGACTGAACATTTCATTTTAATCAGTCCAAAATATAACAAATAAATTTGCAAGTGTTTAACATATCTCTCTGCATGATCAGAGCTTTTTCATCAGTTCACTTTTGAACCTAGGCTGTTTTATGCTCATGATTGAAAGTATTTTTTAAACAGTACTGAACTGCGTACTTACTTTTAATTCTAGAAATGTGTATATACTAGTGAAAGTACCCAGCTTCACTCATCTTATTAGGATGATAGTGTGTGTATATTCTAAAGGTATATCCTATATACTTTTGTTGCTAAGCAACATGACATAAAAGCCATTGTTTAAACACATTGTTACCAAAATGCTTTGGCTTTTCTATATATTAGAGGCTGTTATATAAGGAATCACTTGTTTTCTATGTGTATTTTTACTAGCTTGCCTCATTAAAAAGATGCACACTCACATGGAGAAGTAATAATACCTAGGTGCACACCTTCAGGGTCCACTTAGCATCGATGAATAATTTCAAGTTTCTAGGTTCTTTTCTCTTGGAGTTATGGTGGTCACACACACAGACACACCCTTTTATTATTAGAGACTAGCGAAAGTACTTGGCTTTGCTTGGGTTTTTACGTTGATATATTGGTTGTTTTCCCATATGCTGCCAAGATGAAAAGGCCCTTAGTAGCACCAACCCTGGAGCACCCAATGTAAAGCTGACCAGTATTTGACAGAGTTGTTTATCAATATGCTCATTAATAAAGTATTTTTGACACTAATGTAACAAGACCTTAACTTTACCTTGGCTTTTCACTTTATAAGTTGAGAAATTTCTTTAGTCCTTTAGAATTTATATTTTATTGACCATTGAGAACAGTTAAGTGTTAGAAGTTGTATTACTTTACAAAGAGGTAACTACTGTATATAAGTTATTTATAGAAACATGCTTCTTTCCAAAAGTAACAAGTAATAATGGTCACCATACTAACTTAATAATAGCACAACTTTCAGATACACGTTTCGATCAGAGTGTGAAGACTACCAAAGCTGCTTCTATCACTTTATATAAATAATTATTGTCAGTTCTCAATATACCAAGCAAAATGGTATATCAAACATGTTTGTAGTGATCTGTGGCTTGTAAATTTCAACCTTTCCAAATTTCCCAGATTTATGGAGAGAGAGCATTTGCCCCATACTTGATGCAGTAAAGTTGATTAGAATTGTTTTGAAAAGATGATGATTAGTAGACTTTTTTAGAATTCCAATGAGTGAATATTTCCATGCTGCACCAATACATCCAGCTCACCTGAATAATGTGTTCTAGATTTTACACTATGAAGTTAGTGATACCCATTAATTGTGTTCTGTACTATGCAACACATCCAGCTCACCTGAATAATGTGTTCTAGATTTTACACTGTGAAGTTAGTGATACCCATTAACTCTTTCAGCACAGGCTTAGTCCCTGGGACCGACCTCATAACCATTTTGTGATTGTTATAGTGTTCATGCTATAACGTTTAAATTAGTAAGTGTATGTTAATGAAATTGGACAGATTATTGGTAAAAATTACAATGATTTCATACACATATATCAATTTTCTTTTATTAAGTCTTAAGGTTTGTTAAGCAATGTTTTTCTCATGCTTTTTTTTCTTTTCGCATGTTGCCTATCCTACATGCAAAGTAATTTTCAGTTGAAGATTAAAAAAACATTATACATTTATATATATTATTATTTTTATTATATTGACCTTTCAGATGTGCCTGGCTAACAATACAGAAGTTACAATGACACGGCACACGTGCACTCATGTTGCCGTATCCAATAATATTAAACTGACCTTTAGTCTTTACAAAGTGATCTGTCTTGGCTGTGTTTATTATACTAGTATTTTGTAAAATACAGTTACATTTCCATTATCATACATTATATATGTATATAGATAATTACTATTTAGAAATAAATTCTTAAACTTATTTTTCTTAAAATATAGAACAGTAAATAAAGAAGTAAAGCAAACAATTATCTCTTCTAGCTAAGACCTTTGTACTCAGTAGGTTGCTAAGCCTTTTAAAATTTTACATGTGGAGGATATAAAAGTAAATGATATTTTGTAGGTTTTTATATATACAGTTGAGTAACCAAAAAATCATAAATTACTCTATTGATATAATAGAATTCCACTATAATTTATCAAGCTTAGTAACTAAGTTGTATTTAGGTCTAAAAAAATATGAAATTTTGAGCAGACTAAAGATACAACTTACCTCCTTGAAAGCTTGGTTTGAAAGAATGAGATGGTATCCTAACACATGAAAATGGCTGAGAAAGGCACAAGGAGGAAATAGTAGTACAATAAAATTTTGAATGCGAGTCAACAAACATGACATGGCCTTTGACCAGTGACCCGTATGGAGAGGGTTAATGGGTTCCCTTACTTTGCAACACATCTAGTTCACCTAAATAATGTGTTCTAGATTTTACACTGTGAAGTTAGTGATACCCATTAGTTGTGTCCTGTACTGGGCAACACATCCACCTCATCCAAATATTGTGTTCTAGGATTTACACTGTGAAGTTAGTGATACACATTATTGTCAGTTCTTAAGATTTCAAGATGAGACTTAAGCCAAACAAAAAGGTACCAAACATGTTTATAGTGATATATGATTTGCAAATTCTAGTCTTTCCAAAATACTCAAACTTATGGATAGCAGCACATTTGCTGCACACTTAGTGTAGTGAAGCTGGTGAGAATATTTTATAAAGATAAAGATTAGTACATGACCAAACATTTTAACTATCTTACATCTTGATCTACCACTCTATAATCTTTCCTTTCTCAAATTCAAAATTTTTTGCCAGTTTTTACACTTCAGCATTATACTGATCTACCTGCCTGGTATGACAGTACATACTTTTGCTGAGGCTCTTTGCAGAATGTGTAGTGAAGATCACATCGTGTTCAGATGTGATGTAGGTCATGGTGTTCAGATGATGTAGGTCATGGTGTTCAGGTGATGTAGATCATGTGGAGTTCAGGTGGTGTTGATAATGTGGTATTCAGGTGATGTAGATCATGGTGTTCAGATGTAGATCACATAATGTTCAGGTGATGTAGATCACATGGTGTTCAGGTGATGTTTTGGTACTTTTGAAGGACAGGCTTCTATTGCTACTTTTTGTGTGAAACTTTTGAGGGTAAACACCAATTTCAATTTCCTTTATTAGTTGTAATTACTGACTTAAATATCTTTGAATTCATTATGCTGTTCATATAGGTATGTGACTCTTTTGTGGGTTGAAATGCTTATCTTAGAAAATAAGTTTATACTTATCAACCCCAGAGACCTATTTGTAAAGACCTGTTTTATTTTATTATTTTTTAATCTGCTGTCATTGTTTTTGTGCTTCATTAGAATTAACTTTCTTCCCACAATGTGTTTCAGACAGTGAATAGTAGTTTTAAATGTGTGACATTGTGAGCCTAAGCATCCATTTCTAAATCTGCTCCTAATATTTTTTTGGGGGGTAAGTTTTAGTTCTAATTTTATTCCACATGTGAGGCTCCTAAATAGAGTTTTAATCTGATGAACTGGTGGATGGTGTATCTCTACTGCTGTGTGGATTCCACTTCCACAGATACTTCTGTTACTGAGGTGCATTTTATCCTTCCCCTATTGTAGTTTTTAACATAATTTCATTTGTTTGTCTTTTGCTCTTTGATTTTTGGCCTGTTGCCTGAAAGATTTTTTTTAAGAATGTCAACCAAGGTAAGGAAATGCTCTTAAAATAAACATATGTGTTGTGTAATTTTTATGATTGAATTTATAAAATAATTGAAAGTAATAAACACATTGATTTTTGATCACAATGAGAATACCTTTTATAAGTATCTATACATATATATATATATGTGTGTATGTATTTATATACATACACATATACAACCAGAAGGAAGCTGAATAGATGTTTGTTTGTTTTTTCACATAGAGCAATGGGCCCTCCGATTCATCCCCAAAGAGAATGGAATCCACCAAGTTCATATCTATCACAATGATGCTCACATACCAGACAGCCCATTCTCTGTTCGGATCGGTAAAGATAACGATGATCCAGCTTCTGTGATTTCTTATGGTAATGGATTGAAGGAATGTAAAACAGGTGAGTTTGAGTCATTTTTTTTATGGTAAGCAGTTGTTGAACTGCAAAATATGTAAGCCTTTTTCTGTCTGTTTTACTATGTCAACTTCAAGGGAGTCTCATCCCAGTGAAGGAGCACTGAGGTTGATACCCAAAACGTTGAGGGCTGCACTCTACATTTTTTTGCATAAATACTTAGTATCTAGGAAGTGAACCAACTTTAAAAATAAACATTACTTGTTGGGTACTGGGGTTACAGGGTTGGCTAAAGCACATTTTGGGGTAGATTCAGCACCAGCAAGCCTTTTTTTTATGCTGCCCTTGGTCAAGTTTCTTCTTTTCTAGAATTTTTAGATATTAGTTCACATTAGATGCTTAGCTGATATAAAATGATTGAGAAGAATATTTTTTTATGAAGTGTATGTAAATAAATATTAATTGTTATGAATTTGGAACTTCAAATAAAAAGTGGTTGAATGTATGAAACAAATACATTTTATAAACATATTACTCAGTTTGAAACGTATTTAAAATGTAAAAAAAAAGTTGAAGACCTACAGTAAAGGTTTTCATATTGTTCATTTTATACATAACGGGAGATTATCACAGATGCTCCTTTACTACTTCCATTTAATCTGATTGTTAGAAGAATAAGCATCAGGTACTAGTAAATTGATAGAGCTGATGAGGTCTTTAAACTGTTACTACTGTTGTTTACACGGACCATTAAAGGGATAAGCATCAGGTACTGGTAAATGAATAGAGCTGATGAGGTCCTTAAACTGTTACTGCTGTTGTTTACACTGACCGTTAGAGGGATAAGCATCAGGTACTAGTAAATGAATAGAGCTGATGAGGTCCTTAAACTGTTACTGCTGTTGTTTACACTGACTGTTAGAGGGATAAGCATCAGGTACTAGTAAATTGATAGAGCTGATGAGGTCTTTAAACTGTTACTACTGTTGTTTACACTGACTGTTAGAGGGATAAGCATCAGGTACTGGTAAATGAATAGAGCTGATGAGGTCCTTAAACTGTTACTGCTGTTGTTTACACTGACTGTTAGAGGGATAAGCATCAGGTACTAGTAAATGAATAGAGCTGATGAGGTCTTTAAATTGTTACTGCTGTTGTTTACACTGACTGTTAGAGGGATAAGCATCAGGTACTGGTAAATGGATAGAGCTGATGAGGTCCTTAAACTGTTACTACTGTTGTTTACACTGACCATTAGAGGGATAAGCATCAGGTACTGATAAATAGATAGAGCTGATGAGGGCTTTAAACTGTTACTACTGTTGTTTACACTGACCGTTAGAGGGATAAGCATCAGGTACTAGTAAATGGATAGAGCTGATGAGGTCTTTAAATTGTTACTACTGTTGTTTACACTGACTGTTAGGGGGATAAGCATCAGATACTGGTAAATGGATAGAGCTGATGAGGTCCTTAAACTGTTACTGCTGTTGTTTACACTGACTGTTAGAGGGATAAGCATCAGATACTGGTAAATGGATAGAGCTGATGAGGTCCTTAAACTGTTACTACTGATGTTTACACTGATAGTAAATGGATAGAACTGATGAGGCCCTTAAATTGTTATTACTGCTGTTTACATTGACACTTAGAGGGATAATAAGCATTAGATACTAGTAAATGGATAGAGTTTATGAGACCTTAAACTGTCTGATATTTGCATTAGGTTGATACCTGCATCTTTAAGCTTTCAAGTATTAATATATATGCACTGTTTTTCAAGGGGTATTCTAAACCAAAAATTAATCATTTAATATAAATTATTAAAAATAATCAGTACATTTTTGACCAGTAGAGAGTTAACCTCTTAAAAAACCTGTAAGGTGAAATGTTGAGGTAAATAAAAGTTTATCACTGGTAACTGATCCCTTTTCTCATTAGATGTGTTTGTATTTTGTGTATAACCTGCACATTTTTTACAGGAACCAAAACAGACTTTACTGTTAACACATGTAAAGCTGGAGTGGGAAATTTGGCTGTAACTATTGATGGTCCATCTAAAGTATCTATGGATTGTGTTGAGGTGGAAGAGGGTTATAAGGTTCGATACACACCACTGGCACCTGGTGACTACTTCATTATTGTCAAGTATAATGGGTACCACATAGTGGGAAGCCCTTTCAGAGTTCGATGTACTGGTATGTTATATATTTTTTGCATGCAAAGATGATTTTTTTTTAGTTGAATAATTAGCATGCTTGTTTTGTTGGTTTTACCCTTAAAAAGTTTATACTTTTGGAATGTAATGCATTTAGAAAGATAATAATTTATGTAAGTTTTAGGGGTTAACAAGGAAATTAGAAGTGTAAACGTTTCAAACAGGAAAACACTATACATGTAGAAACATTTAGGGAGAAACTGATCAAGATAAAATTAATTTTGTGCTAAGCATATAAATTGCAAGCTTTAATTGAATTAATTAAACATATAAGATGTTTACAAAACTTACTTATTTGTATGACTTATGAGATTTTATAGAGAAAGCTCAAAATATATTAAATAATTAATGTTTTTAGAGCATGGAGTCTTTCTCCACCACTGTGCCAAATGTGATGTTCGTTTCATTTGTACATCAGTATACATTCACTTATTTGATAATGAAATACAACATACATTTTTCTTTGAATAATGCATGTTTTTTTTGTTGTTGTTGATTAATCCAAGGTACAAGTACAAAGAAAACACTAGGCCTGACACATTGTACCTCTTACACATTTTGTCAAGATTTGGTGGTATTTCACACACAAACAGTAAGCAAACTAGCTTTAATTCTGTAATTTTATCATACTTTGTCTGTTATAGTGATCTGTAATAAATCATTCAAGTCCCATAACCTCACTATTTAACTGAACTAAGATCATGTTTTAAAACAGAAGTTTTTTGTGGTAATACACTGTTGGCTAACTTACCAAATTAGAGAGTTTTTTCTGAAATTTTCAATTAATGCATGTAGATTAACTTAGTTTATCTTTAATAACAGTCCTCAGGACTTTGTTAAAGATGGGTGGTCAATGGGGAGGAGGAGAGGAATGAATGGCAAATATTGTTTAAGAAACCAAGAAAGATTTTGTTGTTGCTTAAAAGGTTTATCTGAGCTTCTAATTTTACAATATATGGCTATTTGTTCCTTTGGATTTAATGATGAAGGAAATCTGAGTTGTTTCCTCACACATTTTAGATGCCACATTTAAAACAAATTCCACCAGTACTCAAACAGTGGAAGGGATTTGACCCAGAGAGGACTAAACATTGTTTGTTGAATTATATAAAGGCAGTACAAGTGTGTAAACATTGTGGAATACGTTAAATGGATTCTGAGAGTCAGCATATGAATGAATATTTGGTTTTTGTAATTCAGAAAATCTATATATACTGTTATGACAGTGGAAGTCGTGATGCTGGAAGCATGAGCGCTGGAGTTTCTAGAACGATCATGACTGTTCCTGGTAACTCTAGTCTTTTCTAGGCAGCCTCTATTTTAGTATATAAGTCCAGCAAATAAAGTGGACATATAATAGCAGAGAGACAGATAATTGAGTCAAGTGAGCGGTAGTGACTGTAAGTAAAGTGTGTGAATAGTTGTGAATTATAGCGTGTGTTTAAGTTAAAGTGACTGTGGAAATTCTGTGTATTATAAAGTTGTATCGAGAAATAATAAACTAGTTTTAATTAAGAAAGGACTTGTATCGCTGAAGTTTCTCGGAAAGAATTTTTACGGGAAATTATCTAACAAGCATGTGAACTTAATAATTTTTCATTATCAGATTATATCTATATGGATTGAATGTTTTATGATGTATCCTAAGAGAGAAGTAATGCATATTCACAGATATAGAGAGCAGTATGAAACATTCATGTACTATGATAGTCATTTTATTTCTAGAGAAAGTCAGAACTACTACTATATTTGAAACTTCTTTGTAATCTTTATGCTATTATAAACTATAATATGTTTTAACATACCTAATCAAGTACACTTAATTTATTAATTATCCACTGTTTTTGTACATTTTTAAGAGAGATAGACACATTTTAAAAAGTGGTAAAAATGGAAGAGTTTTGGTAATATTAGTGAAATTTTATTGTGTTGATTTTAAATTTATACAACATAAATATTGGAATATTGCAAAATGTTGATTCTTTGTACCTAGTATTGTAGTTTATTTTTACATTAAATATATTTCCCCACATTGAGCACCACTGTGGTAATTTATTTTTTTCATGATATATATATTTCCTCACCTCAGACTTGAATTCAATCAAGACTTGCCAAATGCTCTACTAAGTCAGCTAGAGTTAACCCACTATTGTTTGGAAGAAAGTCACTTTTTCACAACACTGAACAAGCTAATGTACTAGTATAAATAATTTAACTTTATTCTTAGAAGCCAGTAAAAAACTTGTGACATAAGTTTTGTAATGTAGAGTTTAATTTATAATGTCTGAAATGTAAAGTATGAAATATTGCAAAATGTTTATTTTTGAATTTAGTATAAAATTATTTAACTTTATTTTTAGAAGCCAAGTGACATAAATGTCCAAATGTAATGTCTGTTGTTCGTTTGTAAATTGACCTATGTATATATATATACTTAAAGAACAAAGGAGGTCTGGCATAGCCAGGTGGTTAGGGCCTTCAACTTGCAATCTGCAGATTCGTATCCCCGTCTCACCAAACATGCTCACCCTTTCAGCCATAGGAACATCATAATGTGATGGTCAATCCCACTATTCATTGGTAAAAGAGTAGCCCAAGAATTGGCAGTGGGTGATGATGACTATCTGCCTTCCGTCTAATCTTTCACTGTTAAATTAGGGACGGCTAGCATGGATAGCCCTCATATAGCTTTGCACAAAATTCAAAACAAACAAAAGAACAAAGGTTTTCTTAAGAAAAATAACTCTTGTTAAAAATTCATTTAGACTGTTTAAAGATATGTATTAGTGTAATTTGACACAAGTTTAAAGTCTCAAATCTATAAACACTAACTATAGGGTTTCTACCCAGTGTTGTACATATAAATGCTATTATTAAAGCACATTTTTTTATTTTTGTGTATCATAGGTCCACCTGTAGCAGACTGTGGTGAACATGAAACATCTTCAATTATAGTTGAAACTGCAATAAAGCAAGAAAGTCAAAAAGTTGATGGTCTCCCACGTTTTCATTCTAATGCCAGTAAAGTCACAAGTAAAGGAATGGGATTGAAGAAAGCTTATTTTCACAAGCAGAATACATTCAGTGTTAATTGTGGAGATGCTGGTATGTTGTTCTTAACTCTTAAATTACCAATCTGCTTATATACATCCACTACGTGTGGAGTTTATATATTGTATCATATTTAGTAATTTTGTGCTTTTGCGTGTTACATAACATATTGACAACAATGAGACCGTTTGGTCCTTCAAGGCTGTCCATGTGCACCTGCCCTTGAGAAAAAGAAAACTTACACCCACTTTCATGTTTTTAGGAAATAATTTATTTGACTCTCAAACTATTGTAATGCTTATCTCCACCTACTGCTGATAACAACTCAGTTCATAAGATATGTTGTCCTGTTAGACAAATAAAACAAATGTTAACTAAAGCATAGTCTGTCTTTTCTAAATCTTAAACTTGTCTCCTATTCCCCTATTATCTTCAGAATATAGCACACAGAAAGCAAAGGCTTTTATCATATCAATACCTCCAATAAACTGTTACTTTAGTTTCTCTTAAGTTAATCCTTTCATCCCTGGAATCATTCTAGTAGCTCTTCTCTGAACTCTTTCCAGTAAGTCAGCATCCTTTCTCAGATAAGACCAAAACTGTACACATTATTACAGATGAACACTAACTGTTGATCTTTATAGAGGGATAATTGCCTATTTGGACTTGTAATCAGTTTGTTTATAAGTAAACCCTAAATGTTTATCAGCTTCATTACTAGCAACAGAGCACTGTCTTAATGGTTCAAGTGACTTATCCACCACTATGCCAAGGTTCTTTTCTTCTAAAGAGTCATGCTATTGAATGGGTTCTCATCTGTATTAGACATTTGATCCAAATTATGATAACCTAAATGAATTACCATACACTTACTATGATCAAAGATTATTTGCCATATATTTCTCTAATTGACCAATTCATTCGAGTCATTCTCTTGTACCTCACCATTCTTAATACAGCTAGAAATATCCAAGAGGTTAATGCAATCAGCAAACTGTATTAACTTACTAATTATGCTCCTATTAATATCTTTAATGTAAATAAGAAAAAGCAAAGCTCAAGCTTTGATCCCCGAAGTACTACATTAGTAATAAAGGTCCAGTCTGACTGTACTCCATTAATAACAACCTTTCTTTGCTTTCACTCATCCAACCACCTGACAATCCATTTAACTGTTCCTTTCTTCAACCTACTAGTGTGGTTTTATTAACTAATCATTTGTGTGTAATCTCATCAAAATCGTTTTGAAAATCTAAGTATACCAATTCCAGATCATTTTGATCATCCAAATAACAAGTAACATCCTCCAAAACATTAACAGATTATGTAAGATTTATCTTAGTGAATCCATGTTGACTTTCTTTTAAAGTATTATATTTTCACTAAATTATTTAGCAAAGCCTTTTTGTCAATTTCTTTAGTTTTTCCAATACAGAAATTTGACTAAATGGCATATAATTTCCAAAACAACTTTTACTGCCCCCATCTAAAAATAGGAGTAACATTAGCAACTCTTCTGTCTTCAGGCACCTGCCCATTGTCTACTGACTTAGCAAAAACCAAAGCAAAAGGCTAGCATATTTCTAAACTGACCTATGTTAAAACCCATGGGAAAATCTTGTCTGGTCTTGGTGCTTTATCCACTTTTAATCTCTCAATCTATCTATGTACCAAGGGATTAATATATACAAAATTCAAGTTAATTCCAATATTTCACATGAGTACTTATGGACAGAAATATTACTAGTATCTTCTCTTGTAAAAAGAAAAAAAACATATAAAAATTCAGCCATCCCATATTCTTAAACAAAAACCTTACCATCAGTAGCCTTTAAAAACCCAATTCCAATTTTGATATATTCTTTCCTTTCAACATACTTAACAAAATCTTACTGTTAGTTTTAATATTCTGAAAACAAAATAGCAAAATCACTCATTTTCTATGTAAAAATGAATACGTAGTGCGATTTCTCAGAGTGGAATTAATTGCAGCGTTGATGTGTTTTTTTAATTTTGTTATTTGAATCCTATGTTATAAGATACCCTATAACCAACAAAGTCAGTTTGTTGTATAAATAGTTTAGAAAAATATGTTGAAAAGCCATTGGAATCATTAAGTGTAAGGCTAAATTTGAGAGAAAATATTATTTTACCTTGTAAGATTTCAGTTATAATAAAAAAAGAAAATCATTATTAAAAAGCCTATGTATATTTTGAAGCTTATGATGAGTTACATAGATATATATATGCTGTGTTGTCTTTGTTTATTTAACCTTTTTAGTTGAATGCTTATTCTTAAATGAAAGTGCATAATTTATAGGTTTAATTTTTCAACAATGATGTTAAAGTATGTACATCTGCTTAAGAAAACACACATATATTCCAATTTTCATGTCAGACATTAAGTTAAGCAATTTTTGTGATGAGATCGTTCTTTCCCATTGTAATTTTGTTGAAGACTTTAGTTATTAGTCTCTTTTAGGTAATCTTATGAAGTTTCATGAAATAAACATAACTACCTCAGTATGCAAAAATAAACTGATGAAAGAAATTACTTTTTGTGTTGTAGGTAACAACCTCTTGTATGTATCCATGTATGGTCCAAAAGGCCCATCTGAAGAGATATTTGTCAAGCACTTGGGCTACAATCTGTATCAGGTGAATTACGTCTTGAAAGATAAAGGAGATCACATCTTGATAGTGAAGTGGGGTGATGAACACATCCCTGGTAGTCCTTTTAGAGTGGAAGCCTCATGAATGTTGCCATCCCTTAAGAGACTGCTTCGCGTCTACATTCAGCACTGGATCACACTTCTTAAACTGAGAAAATGTTATGAGTTTGCATCATTCAAGGGTCATTTCATTCACATTTGTCCTTGTCCATTTCAGGTCATGTATTCAAGTAGTGACAAATATTCTTTTGGATTATTATAGAAGATATTTTGAACCAAATCCTTTATATGTTTTTCTTTTTCTCCCACATTAAATGTAAACTTAGAATCACGATTTTCTTCATAATGGTCCACTATACACAACTTTGGAATTGTAGCTTTAAAGTCTTGCAGTGATAGTTGATTATTCTGTGTCACAATTTTACAGAAACAGTTTGTTTTACAGTACCTATTTTTCATGGAAATACTTTGAAAACAAAACTTAGAAGTATTTGATCTTTACTTTAGTAGTGCTTTTTTTTTAAGGTATATGATCTCACACACACACACCTCCATGCATGCAACTTTTACCCAGTGTGGTGCATTTCTTCTTAAGTGCCTTCATTCCCCCATGTATCACTGAAATAATTGTTTAATGAGCTGTTAAGTAGTTAATTTACTTGAAAACACAAATATCTAATTCAGAACTAGGTGCCTCATACAAAATATGGCAGTTTATTTGTTATATTGAAAAAAAGCTAAAATAATAACTGAATATGTGTTTTCCTACATCTGTTCTTTCAGTGACATGTATTTTCCTCGATAGTATTACTAGCTGTTGAAGGGATTGGATGGTATAAAAGTTAGTACTACCTCTCAATGTGCCTAGTATTGATTATACAAAATATGGCAGTTTATTTGTTATCTTGAAAAAAAGCTAAAATAATAACTGAATATGTGTTTTCCTACATCTGTTCTTTCAGTGACATGTATTTTCCTCGATAGTATTACTAGCTGTTAAAGGGATTGGATGGTATAAAAGTTAGTACTACCTCTCAATGTGCCTGTGTTGAAAACAAACTAAATTACAGGCCTAAAGAATATTTATGATGCAATATGATGTTTTAATTTTTGATTGCATTTTTTTTATGGAGGTCTAAAGTACCAGAACTTGAAACTATATAATCATTGTTAAAATTACAACTTCAAATAACAGTTACATTGCTAAAAGAAGATCTGGTACATAATCTTTCATATAATTAAAGTATTGAAATTAAATACTTGGTTTAATGACAAATGTCAAGACTAAGAGTTAAGTTTTAAGAAGTACAATCACACTCCTGGAAATATAGCAGGATTAGGGCTACCAGATTTTCATAGTGAAAAACGGGGACTTTTTTTCCATATGGAATAACACTGTAATAGCTCTGAAACAGTTTAAATTATATTAATACACTATTTACCACACTATTTAACACGCTATTTACCATAAAAAACCATAGACAAACAAAATTTGTTTAAAAGCTTATCTAGTTAAAAATTATGATAATAAAATACATGCCTAAGTTATCTTCATTTTCTTAAAATGAAAAACGTTTCTTCTTTGTTTTCTTTTACATGGCTGGGAAAATGTTCAACTCTCAGTTCTTCCAGCTGCCCAATGACAGATTAGATTAGGAAAATGTAACAGAGAGGGAGGAACTCTGTATCATGTGATCTGTCTTTGTCAGATGATTCACCAAGTAGATTTTAAAGGAGCATTTTATAATACAAACCATACATATCAAACTTGCTTTGAGGCATAGAGAGAGAAACTGGGACAACTTAATACATTTACCATTTCTAATCAGGAGTGATCCCAGTTTTCCTGGGACATCTGGTAACCCTACTCAAGAGTGCAACTTTTCACTCTCCTGCTTTTTCAAATACAAAACACTTCTTTAGAAAATATGCAGTAGATTGTTGGTGTTTGTCTTCTACAAAAAGTAATATGTATAAAACTGTGAATTATAAATGTTCTTTATTGTAATATGTCATCAAAGTGCTTATCTGCTTATATTATGGTTCAATTTAATTACATATTTTCAAGTGTATCAAATTGCTTAAAAACTTGATTCTACAGTTAATCAACGCTCCAGTTGTCATGAGGTTTAAAGTTCTTATACTGTTTTTTCACCTATTTAGAAAAAAAACAGGTCATGTACTGTACACATTGTAAATTATTTGAATGTTTTACTCTTGACATAGCACAGAAAGTTAATCATTTTTATAAGAATATCTTGTGAATGCTAATATAGATGCAAGCCATGGTACTACAGGTAACAGTTTAACTCCTTTAAATTGGGTCCATGGTGACTTTCCAACCATTCACCAGTGTGATGCACCATAGGATGCTTTTGGCAGAATGGAGTTGTCATAGTCCTTATGAGGGAAGATATTTCTAGAGCAAGATTGTTAAATGATGAAAAGCCAAAGGAAACAACATTTTGATGAAAGGAACCTTAAATATTTTCCATGAAACCAAAAAACTTGCAGTAGAGCATTTAAGGTAGTAACATGCTGAAAATCCACACATCAAACTAATCCAGAGATACTTATCCACATTGTAAAGATTATGGTTATGAAAGAGGGCCCTCTGATCCTAAAAGCAGTTACAGTAAAGCTGGTCATATTTTGTAGAACTCCTAACACAAATTTGCAGTTACCTAATTCTGTTGAATTTGTCATTGCTCCTTCTCCTCCTTTCACTGACTATCATAAAGTTTTTATTGGTGATAAGACTGTTACATCTTCCTAAAGACATGTTGTGCAGTGCTTAATGAGCCGAGAGCCATCTAGTAGAAAAAACCACTATTCCTCTGCACAAGAAAGGCATACAAATTTATAGGTACTTATAAATTTTATAACTTTATTTCCCTGTGAATATTTACTTAGTTGAAATAAAGTTACTTTGCCTGGTGATGATTCTAGTAGAGAGGACAGCTTGTCTTGAAAGATGTTACTGTTAAAAAGATTATAAACGATAATTTGAAATTGGTGAACTTCAAAATCACTGGCTGTTTTTTTTACAAAGAAGATGACAGAAGAAACTGGTATCACAGCAGTCACATTCGGCTACATACCCATGAAGTCCCCTGGTGCAGATCCAATGAATGCATATAGTCTGATTAAACGTGGTCTTGTAAGCTAAGTCCAAATTACCAAAATGTGTGGTCTAAAAGTGATTTTTTTTGTCCCTCCCAGAAGTTTAATAATTATTGAGAACAATCAATAATGGAAGTGGTTTCAAAGGCTGCACGGGTTGTGGAACACTGTTCTTATAAAGAGTTATTTACTCCTAATAACTGAAGGTTAGTGAAAAAGAAAATAAACTTTACTCTGTTGTCTTTTGTTTTTATGGTGCAACACAGTAACTAATGTAGTGGATAATATTTTAATATATAGTTGTTGAAGAACATGTTAACTGTAATGTTTCTTATTATATTAAGTAGCATACATATATAAATTATTTTCAGTAACACCAAGTTACTCTTTCTTTGTTAAACTGAATTGTTTTGAGGAAAAATAATAATACCCAATACTGTGTGGGATGTCTTGGTACTAGCTTATGATAGTAATATTGTGATAATTTAAGTTGTTGAAAAGTGTCTTATGAGGATGTTACAGGGGCTTAACCTTTTAGTTCGGTTGGTAGAGCACTCACCTGCAGTGCGAGAAATCCACAGTTTAAATACATCTTGGCGAAAATGAACAAAAATTACCACAGGAAACTGAAGCTCAACTACTAGCTGTCCCACAACCTTCAAAATAGGCCCAAGGTTGGGCCTTGTTTATAGTAGGGAAGAATGCGGTAGTTTGAGTTTTTAAAAAATACCTTAACTACCAAGTTCTAGTGGGTTAACCCTTTAGCTTAGTTACTTGGTGTGCACGAGGTCTTGGGTTTTGAGTCTGGGCTGAGGAAATAATAAATTTGAAATTAATAAGTAGTTCTTTAAAATGACAAATTATCTACTGATAAGTATAACATGAGTACTGAATGAAAATCTTTAAATTACTCCTCTAATGCTGAGTGAGTTTGGAAACATTTTATAATCAGATAATACAAAGATAATCAAATCAAATATTGTTACAGTGAAAAGAAAATTAATCACACTATTTTCTTCAACTGCCAATAAAACTGTTGTACTGCTTATACTTAAGATTACAATTGATATAAATTTATTGCACTGTTCCTGAAAGAGATACCTCCACAGTTGACATAACCTTTGTACTTGCTTTTGAGACAAATCCAGTTTTGTTGTAATACTTAATTAAAAGTATAAGTTTTTAATAAAGTTATTTCATTGCATATTTTAAGTACCTTTGTGTTTGGTAAATGGTCTTTATTGTTAATGTGACATTACTTTTTTTGATCAACTTTTTCATGCTGAGGTTAATTAATAAACTGTCATATCTGGATACCAGTTATGAAAAAGCTAACTTGAGTTGCCATATTTACAATGAAGGTCACTTAAGAGTTTAATGTGTGTATGTGTAACAACCGAAGAAACATCTTCTACAGAATGTCTAACCTCTCAAATAACCTTGTGTGAAATTCAGCAAACAAACTTGTCTGACCTAATAATGACCAACATTTACTAGTACCATATTAAATTTTAAGGGCCAGGCTTCCTTAAGTGTCCATTTTTCATGGAAAATGTTGAAAAAAAAAGTATTCTCTTACAAGTATGATTTATACAGTTCTTGAAAATATAACTATTGAAAATCCTTGTGCCAAAAATCTAGCACTCGGGCTACATTCTGTCATATTTTTCCACCTTGGTGAAGATGACAAGTGTTTTTCACATGTGTTATTCATTATCAGATTACATTGTACCTAGAATATATAGGCAAAAAGCAAACAAATTGTAAGAAGGTTTTCCCTTCTGTTACCTTTTTTCTGTGATAATATTTCAGTTGCCAACTTTGTTTACCATTCATTCTAAAAATACAAATATGAAGCCTATCACTGAATGCATACCACCTCTGTATATTAGCAAAGATAGGAGTAGACATTAATGTGACTTCTTTTACATTTCTACAGTAAATCCAGCTATAGCAGGCTAATAAGATTTGTTACTTTGTATTAGACTACTTCCACAGATCATAAACGTAAGCTTTTATTATAATATTGCATTATACTAAGAAGTGCAAGGCATATATAAGGAGTTGAATTAAAATGATGATCTCCTTTACCCATTCTGTGAACTCCTTTAATCTGTTTTTATAAATAGACCCATAATTATTGCTCACAGATTTAGCTTTGTAATTTATCAGTCATTTAAACCTAAAACTACAACCACTCACACCATCTGAATGTTAGTTATACAGTTAAAAGAGATACACACCTGTTATGAAATTCCACTTTCAAGGATTTTTCTTGCAGAAAAATGAGTTGAGTTGTGACTAATAGATTTCACATTCATCCTATCCTAATCATCTGCACATGGTGGAAACTAAATATGGTGCAAAAAGCATTATGCACTCTATATATTCCCCTCTGAAGTAAAGGAGTCCACATAATTTCATATTCAGTGACTTTTATTGAAGAATGCAATTTACTTTTACCCTTTCAGTTATTGATAACAACAAATGTCTTGGCTGTTGTGTATAACAATATAACAAAATGGCATAATTTGAGTATCAACACTAGATATATGCATAAAGAAGATCACATGCTTAAAAAACTAATTTTATTACAAGCTCCAAATGACATACCCAAAATATCTCTTGATACCTTGTGTTTGGGGTATGATTAAATCCAATTGTATACTTCTGGGATTGATTTTAGACTCTGATCTTTTTATTTTCTCAAACATTTGAATTATTGTCTTGAAAATAAACAACTGTAAAGGAGAACGCATGATTATGGTGACATGTTATTTTGGATATTTTTATATGTGAAAAAGTAATAGGACAATCAGCTAGTAACAAATTTTCAAAACATAAATATTTACTAATTAATCACAATAAAGGCTTGAGTCATACTTAGTTTTTGTGTTTGTGTTATGAAATTACATTTTTCTGCTGGTAACATGCTACTTTTAACACCCCACCATTGTTTATTTCCTTGGTTTGCTAGAAAAACTTAACACAAACTCAACATATTATATATGTTTGGAAAGCTCTGTCCATCGTCTATCATTTAGAAACTATTATTTGTTTGTGTAAGCTACACACTCAGAGAAATTTGCCCCAGAACACTGGCAACATGAAATTGGACATTTAAGAAAGCCTGGCCCTTAAGCATATTAACTCTGGTCAATAGCTCAAGCTGACTATTCATTTATATTGTAAGTTTACTGTTTTGAACAGTAGAACGTTTAACCTTCCCACTGAAGTATTTAATGTTTTAATCAATTTAGTTAGAACCTTACATTGTACAAAATTAAATGTCTTTGACTAAGTTAAAGTTTAACACTAGGGAAATTACATGCTTAAAAAAAATAGTATATTTCCTGTTCATCTGCAGTACAAAAACAAGTAAATAAAAATTCATCTGTTTGTTTTAGAAGTTTTTAACACTAGGGAAATTACAAGCTTAAAAAAAATAGTATATTTCCTGTTCATCTGCAGTACAAAAACAAGTAAATAAAAATTCATGTGTTTGTTTTAGACGTTTTACGCAAAGCTACACAACGAAGGCAGTTAGTCAAACAACTCATAATCTATGAGTCACAAGTTTAAATCCCGTAACCAAACATGTTCACTCTTTCATCTGTGGGGGCATTATAATGTAAGAGTCAATCTTACTATTCATTGGTAAAGAGTAACCCAAGAGTTGGTAGTGTAAACAAGCTGCCTTCCCTATTCTATCACTTCAGGATTAGGGATGGCTAGCACAGATAACTCTCAAGTAGTCTTGTGTGAAATTGAACAAACAAACTTGTCTGACCTAATGGTGACCCACGTTTACTAGTATTGCATTAAATTTTAAGCACGTTATCCCTAATAAATACTGGTTTAAAAAGAAAATAGTTGGTATATATTGTGGTGTAACATTAATTTAATGTTACAGTGGACTGTACTTGTTAATTTGTCTCTAATAATCAAAACTGTGAATTTCTTTGGGGAAAACAAAAGCCAAAGCAAAACCTATTCTTGGTTTTGCTAAGTTAGTGAGTTAAACTACTTTTGAAAAATTCCACTCCTCATCAGTAACACTAAATTAAATAAAAAAACAGACTTTTTATAATAGGAACAGCAGTCTATATGTGTGTATGTAACATACCTGAATTGTCCTTTATTCATCACAAAATAATTATTTATATAAATGCTTGAAGAGTAAGAAACATTATTTCATTATTGCTACTAATTTCTTCTTCCTAGAGTAAGTTTGTAGATTTCATGCTATTTATTCTTCAAGTAACTATATAAACATAGATTTTTTATGGTAAGTCAAGACTAGACTGTGTTTGTTTGTAAAGCATAAAAAAATATTATTATAAAACAGATTACGATGAAACTTTATAACTATCAAAACACTATTTTTTAATTAGTCTAAAGATGCTTTAGTCAACTGTTGGTTTGCAACATGAAGTAGATTAGTATATAATATCATTTGATTAACTAATTCTTTTTAACAAGTCCACGGTTTTACCCTTATACCATTTACGTTAACAAGCCCTAAAAAAAAACTGATTTAACTTTTACTGTGAATCAATCATATTTTTGTTTTCAACTGGTTTTGAATGTAGAGTGATATCATTTTAAAAAATCAGTAAACAAGCTGGAGTACAAACTTGTGAAGTTGTTACTGTTACAAAGTGTTGTAAGGAACAGTGCAAGTGAAGCAAAGATCATGTTACAGGTAATTACCCCACTCTGATGATAAAGTGTCTACATTTGGCTTTTGTATTTTGTATGTAATATAATAAAAGGATATGAAAATAATTTGTGATCAACAACAACCAAAATTATTTAATAATTCAAACAATGCATCCAATACAGAAAAGCATCCAAACACCTGTGATTATAAGAAATATTTTGACATTTCAACATTGATATACTTTAGACAGATTACTTACACACAAGTGATATATATATATATATTTATTTATATATATATGTTTGTATGGAATATACAGTTTGAAAGACTTGTGAAAGTTTTTTTTTTGTTATTATTATTCTTTGAATTTTAGAGAAGACTATTTTCTTTTAACAAGTAAACAGGTGACAAAAAGCAAACTTTTAATGAATGTATGGTTACATGTTTGGAGACAGAAAAGCCAGCTTTCAAAGCTTTTGACCATTTTTTGAAATTTTCATTTGGCAAAAAAAAAAGGTACATCTTATTTGTTCTTTTTCTTACTGCTATCTTTAATGAAATCTCACCACACTTAACCTTGGGGTAAGGTAAATCAAAAAATGAAAAAAGTTAATAAAGTCTGGATGTCAGCAAAGTCTTCACCTATTTTAACATGGTTTATTCATTCAGAATCAGATAACAGACAGTAGTATCCTTCTAGTTACTTTTTTATTACAACTGTTATAAAACAACTTTTATCTCAAACGTCTTCAGTTTCAAGTGTAAAAAAAGCTTTAGATAATTTAGTTTTACATAAAAAAAATTTATATTTAAAGTGTCTTGAAAACCAGTCATTTTTTTGCACAAAAGCTAATATTTTTCTATCTCCAAACATAAAACCTATTCATTACTCCTTGTATAGTTAAACCTACTTTACCTATGTTAAAATATTTTAGAGTAGGTATACCCTACAAAAATATTGTATATATTATACTTTTTATGTCAGAATAACAGATATTATGCTCGATAAACACAAGAAGTAAATTTCTTGGAACTTAATTATGAAGTAACTCATCAAATTTAAAGTGAAACTAGATACTTATAAGCATACTACACCAAACAAAAATTATCACTCACCTAATTTTAAATAACTTTAAATATGTATACGTTTTAAAAACAGTAAAGAAAAAGTTCACCTGATAAAAAACTAAAATGTTTTGTGGGTACTAAAGACTTGTGGCTAAAAAATACTTTTTAACATTTAGAACAAAAAATATCTTAAATTGCAAAGTAATAAATATTTTTATTTATTTAATTTAAGTAAAACAAAGTAATTTTTTCTGTTCCATTCTTTGTTATTAACACGCAAATATTTCTCAACATTTCTTGCTTAATTCTTTAACAATTATTCATACATATTGATAATTTTGATTTTATGTGTGTTAAGTAGGTTCATGTATTTTGAAAAAGTGATAACAAAACTGTTATTTTCTTATATTCAAATTTTATTTACTAAGCATTGAGAACAAAATTCTCAGAAGCTCAAAATCAAAATAACTAAATAATAGAGCATTTCCTAAATGACAGTTCGTTTTGATAACCATAAATAACATTTCAAGGAATTTATAATACACTTCTAGAACAAGAATAGTGTTATCTTTAACAGGCAATTTGCTTAAGAATAGGCTAGTAATTAAACAGTTTGCCAAACATTCCATTTTGCCTTCAAACAGAAAAAATAAAGTTGGTGTAATATAACTCCATCTTTTAAATAAACTACTCCTAAGCAGTTTATCCATAAATAATAAGTATTACTTTAAACCAAATGTTAACAGAAGTATTATTTATTTACACCCTCTGCAAAAGAACAAAAGAGAAACAAATGTTTTTACATGTAGAAGGTAGTGCCAGATAAGTTGTCTTTAATGTTTCTTATTTTGTCCTACTTCTGTTAAGTTCCATACGATTTAAAAACAAGAAGATTCACTTTCTTGATAAGCTTTATAAAGGTAAATTTTTTGACCCAATCTTCACTGGTTTAATTCACATAGTAACAACTACATATTATGACAAAGTATCTACCTGAAACCTCACGAAGCTCACAGTTTCTGAACCACGTTTTTTTAATTCCGATTCAGTAATAAAAAATGTGCTCTAATGAATTGTGACTGAAATATCTGACACACCTAACTCACTGGTGAACTTTTCCAGAAACAAAAATCACACAGCAAGAAAAAAACATCATTTTTGTGCCTGTTCTTATTACCATGAAACACTAGGTCATAGTACAGCACTTGCTCCATTTTGCTTTAGGTGTAGTATCTCCATTGTATAAAAGACCATCAAAGGTTGCTGAAAAGAAAAATTACCACATCTGAATTACAAACCTAATACAGAATAATACTTATAAACAGTGGTGGATTAAGACACCTTGGGGCCTCAAGACTGTGAATAATGTGGGGCCTCCTTATGCATATTATTTTTGTACAAGATAAGCATTACTTCATACATTTTCTCTTACTCACTCCTAAGCTTACTCAATTTTACTACACTTTTAAATGACAACGTGATTTACCAACTGACTTACATTTTTAATGGATAATTCATCAAACCATAACAAGTGTAATTTTCAGAAAAATCTTTCTTAGGCTTATGTTAAGGTAACAAAGCATAGGCCCTTCATTCCTGACTTAACTTAAAAGTTAGGTCAATCTAAGCAAGGCCTGCCTATCAGTCTAAATTAACTTAGCTGTAACTAAGTTACTGATATCTTTAGTTAGGCTACATTCAAACCATGTAAATTAGCCTAACTACATGTTTTTCAGCCATAATTTAAGTTTAGCCTACGTGCATCAGGCCGAATGAAGCAATAAATTTCTACTACTGCACATAAGTTGTGCTTTTTATGTTTTTTCATATTACTCTTTGTAAGTGAAATTGGGAAAAATGAAGTTATAAAAATTTACCTATTTTATAAAATATATTATGTGTTGTATACAGCAGTCCACAGTTGTACTAACCTCTAATCACTCTTTACATGCAGTATTTTAACCTAACATTTTTGAGGCCCCTGGGTACAAGTCCCATCTGCCCTCCCATTAACCAATACTGCTTATAAAAGAAAACAAAAGCCATTTAGAAACATTGTGAATAATACCTGTTCAACAACTACAAAGAAATTAAAAGTACAAGATTTCTAACTTACTTTGTTTTTCATTTGAATGAAAAACAGAGCTGAAGTTTAGAGTATTTAGGAGCTCATTTATTAATTGAATAAAATTAATGAGTTAGTCTCATTGATGAAGTATCAATAATTACAATCCATGAAAGATGAGTACCATTAAACTTAAGAGTTGTCAGAATTAGAAACTGACTGAATTAATTGCCTGAGAGAGAGAGAGAGAGAGTCACACTTTACAGAGGTTTTCTACATGGCTTTAGAAAATAGGTCAACCTATGACCTCCAAAATCCTTTTTCAAGGAATTTGCAGTAGGATGTCCTATTCTATCTTTCATCATGATAAAAGTTTGGTCTGTTTGCACACACACAAAAGGTCACACAAGTGGATCTAATACCACAACAATATATTGTTGAACAGTTATATATAACAAAGCTGCAATGAACACATCATTCATCCCTTGTTCTCCAGTCATTTGTAAACACGTGAATTAGGCTTTAAGTGAGAAGTGTGGCCTTGTTCTCCAGTTGTGAATCTACCAGTAAGTTGTAAACACGTGAATTAGACTTATGGTGTTCTCAAGTGAGAAGTGTGGCGTTATTGTCCAGTCATGAACCTACCAGTCATTTGTATACACGTGAATTAGACTTATGGTGTTCTCAAGTGAGAAGTGTGGCCTTGTTCTCCAGTCATGAACCTACCAGTCATTTGTATACACGTGAATTAGACTTATGGTGTTCTCAAGTGAGAAGTGTGGCCTTGTTCTCCAGTCATGAACCTACCAGTCATTTGTATACACGTGAATTAGACTTATGGTGTTCTCAAGTGAGAAGTGTGGCCTTATTCTCCAGTCATGAACCTACCAGTCATTTGTGAACACGTGAATTGGGCTTCAAGTGAGAAGTGTGGTAATCTATAGGATAGTAGCAGGTCTTCTTGACCTTAAACTCAGCACATGAAATACATTTGTTACGACAGCGGAAGTCACGTGACGCAAGTAACACGTCGTGATATTCTCGAAGGTTCTTGAATGCTCGAGTGTTTACTAGATATACGGTATTCTTGTATATAAGACCACCAAGAAGTGACGGCAACAATGGAATGGAATTGAATTGCAGACAGAGATAGAGATGGACAATTGAGTCAAGCGTGCAAATCATTCGTTGTGAATTATAGCGTTTGTTGAAGTTATAGTGTGACTGTGAAAATTAAGTGTATTGCGAAGTTGTATTGAGAAAGAATAAACTAGTTTTATTTAAGGAAGGGCTTGTATTGCTGAAGTTTCTTCGGAAAGAATTTTTACAGAAAATTAACAAACGAACACAGAGACGTAACATATTTTTTATGGTTTGGTCACTGATAATCACTCCATTTATGGCTCAAATTCATATTAAGCCCATGATCAATGGATCTGTGGTTCCTATTAGCCACGTTGAGCAAACAATAGTATTTGTGTGGTATTCCTGACCTTCCACAGTCTAGTCCAGGCTGGTTAGCATACAGATCAGTTTTCTTATAGTTCCCATAACATTTCAACAAAGAACTTGGATATATAAAAATGAGCTGTTATTTGTCTTTATTTTTATCTATTTTCTTACATTTTAACATCTCTGGCAGTATGTATTTCTATCAATAAATTTCCACCCATCACCAACAGATACAATATCAAACAATTATTGTATGAAAAGTAAAAAAGAAGAGCTCATCACACCAGCAAATAAACAAGTGTACAAACGAAAAGGCCTGGGTATTTTGACAACAGGGCACATAAACTATTAACATAAATTTTAGAATTGCATTCAGATGTCATTTTTGAGATATTAATAAATGTTTACCCCTGTCAATTTTTTAGTGTAGTGTCAAACATGGCATATACCAATAATCAAGATCTGTAGCTTGTTTAACTTACTAAGAATAATACTCACAATAATGGTTAGGCTTATAAGCTATATTACTTATTCAAACAACAATGTTGAATTATTAAAAAAAAACTGTATTGCACTTCATAAATCTATATTGTTTCACAATGAACTACTCCATGCTTATGTATAGATCTATATTTTAGAATTTGTTTATATTAATGAAATAATGGTACAGTTACACACACAAAACGACTACGATTTAAGAGCCATGAATACACTCCTTCAGAGTTTCAAAGCATGTTGAAAATAAGAGAACTTTTCATTGTGCATCTTCATTATGAAAGTTAATATGAAAAATAGATATCTTTTACATTTTTGTGCAAAAGTAATTTCAAAAGCAGTAGTTTATTATTTAAAGAATGTGAATCTGTTAAAATTTTGTAAAAGTGACAATTACAACATCATTTTTTGATACACACATAAGACCATGCTAAATATTACTAATTAAGAAACTGCAACATCCCTAACCTTTCCAGTTCCCTTGTTGAAGGTTAAAACTTTCTAAATCTGGGCGACTGTATGCAGGAGCATTGACACGATCTTGGTAAGTGGTTTCTGCTGCTACTTCATTAAATTTTGCTTCAGTCACAGCTTGCCAATTGATTCCATCCTTTGATGCTACATAAGCTCTTTTGCTTGGATCTCTGGCATACATTAGCTCTGAGGAAGTGTCATAGCCTAAAAATTCTGCTATATTTCTACTAAGAGCTGGAAAAATTAAATTACAGAAGTTTATTTTTCTTATAGCATCACCACAACATCTGGCAAGAAGAGAAAAAATATTAATAGTTTCAAAAGCCTTAACAGGTATTTAGTATAAAACTTTTACTGTACTTTTAAACATTGGTTTTTCATATCAGATGCCTTTTTTTGTAAAAGTATGGCCATTTTCTTCATAGTATTTTAATTATTATACAAATGATAATAATATAAAACTGAAAATGTAGTGATTGAATTATGCTGTATCCAGTAATATTATGTTTTATTACTAATTATTCTCTGGAAGTTTTTGAAAGTTCTAAAAATTAATTCAGTTTTTCAAATAGAGTATTAAAATAGTATGAGTTATATTTTATCTCCAGCAAAACATTTATGTAAATAGGTCCAACATTTTGTTACACATCTTTTTATGAGTACTGTAATGGAAACATGATAAAAAATGTATAATCCAAACCATCATGTTACTTTTCACAGCAAAAATGCCCCCCAGTGGCACAGTGGTAAGTATGGGAATTATAACACTAGAAACCGGGTTTTGATACCCATGGTGGGCAGAGCACAGATAGCCCTTCGTGTAGCTTTGTGCTTAATAATAAACAAACAATATCACTGCTGGTAAATGCTTAAGAAACATTAAATCCTCAGACAATGTACATCATAATCAATGTATACAAAGAGTTTTATTAGTTTTACTTTTAATAATGCTGTGTGCTATTTCAAATACAGGAATATGTTCATTAATGTGAAAAACAAAAATTTAACTGCAAGGAAGAAAATAATTTTATTTGGTGAAGGTTAATTAAGTTGTCACATTTAAACACGTTAAAATAAGCTTCATTTTATTAGTGCTATTAGCTTGTTAACTGGGATTAAATTAAAACTGGATTCAGTAGTATTTAAGAAGCAACTAAACAGAACTCTAGTAAAAGGTCTTACAAAATGCTTGTTCATAATATTATCACATTAAATATTAACATAGAAAACTAATATTATTATTATTACTCTCAAAAAATACTTAAACTACATTACCTTTCCATGTAGTTCCACCATCAGCTGATGAAAAACACTGAAGTATGCTGTGGAATAGAAATTGTCACTAAAACTTATAGAGACGATACTTTTAACAACTTCCATTTCATTTTTCACATCATTTTGTTTCAGGGTCTAAAATGTCTTGCTAGGCATATCCGTTTTTTTATTAGCTTATCAAATTATAAACTTGTTGATTTATATGTTACTGAAAGTTAAAAAAAAAGGATCTACAAATTGTTAACAGAAACAATCATACACAAAACATGAAGAATGTATAATTTTATCCATATGTTGATAACCTTCCAGACTAAACTATTGATTAGTTAGAAATAATTCTTACATTTTACTATTGACATAATTTATAGATTGACGTGGAGTATTTTTTGTATACTTCAAAACAAAAATCAGGAAATGAACATTTACTACCAGTGATGACCTTTAAGCATAAGCAACACATGCAAATGCTTGACTGGAACCATACACTGGTTAGTTAATAAGATAACATTTAAAAATAAAATGTATAAATAGTTTTTATCTTTTCCAAAAGTTCAACAAAATATGTGTTTAATGTTTTAAAATAAGAGACATTTAACTTAAGGCTTAATTTTAAAACATAATGAGAAAGGTGTAAGTTTTCCAGCTAGTGTGTAGCCTATTAGTGACTGTGTGAGTTGATTAGCCTGCTGCTTGGCACCTTGTGCTTGCTGTTCATTGTATTGCAGTAAACTACATCCTTACGTCAGAATTGCAAGTATTCAAGCTGAGGAATAGAGAAAAATTCTTATGGCTTGATATGATCAAGAATGAGCATCCCATATATGTATGTAATAAAAAAGAAATAATTTGTTGGCCTACCTTGGACTATCCACTGCATCACAAAAGTAGACAATATCATTAACTGTGTCTACAGCAAAATGTCGGCCCACTCGAGCTTTGAAAATTAAATTTGTAAATCTGTATTAGAGACATTTTGACACATAATCATAATTGTAGTCAGGGCTGCAGTCAGACCTTGGCAATGCCCAAGTACTGATTATTATCATGTAACAGAAGTTTTGAATGAAACAAGTGCACTTTTTGAACAAGACATTTTTAGCTCTGTAAAGCAACAACCATAACAAAGAAAAATAAAGATTTGGTATGAGGGAAATAAAAACATATTTAATCTTACTTTTAATACAATTATGTTTTAAATTGGGGGTGGGAGTATAGCACAAGCTCTACAGATGCCATTAATTACATGCAGGTTATCACCTCCACATCCCATTCACTTTATTTTCAAGTTTATCACTCATGCAGCTTTTATAATAGGACTGCAGCCCTGAGAGTTGACATAGGAGTACTCTTTTACTCAACATTCTGACAAGTACTAAACCTAATCAAATACAAACTACTTCTTAATCTAAAGAATATCCTGGATATCTGTTAACTAATAAACACATTTTGGTTTCTACATTTTACAGTTACTTTATATAAAGAAAGTTCAAAAGTCTTAGTATACCATAAATGCTTGAATAATGATTTCTGTAGATCAAATAGTATTAACAACTTATTAAGTTTTCATTTCAATGATTTTTTCACTGGAAATTAGCTGAAACTCAAAAAACTTTTTGTAAGCTCTAGTTTTCTTACATTACAAAACAAAAAAGTGTGTTTCAGGAACCTAATAACAAATAATTTTAGCATCTTCCCAATATTTCATCATATTAGGTAAATCTTTTTTAAACTTTCTAATTGTAAAAAATATAGTCTTCTTCAGTATGAAAAAATAAATAAAAAATCAAACTCATTCAAGTCTCCCAATTTATTCATGACTGTTGGAGGCATTTGACCCACATAACAAAATATTTAGGCTCATTACCTATTATTCCAGGTCAATTAAAGAATGTTACTAAGTCCATACAATGGTATATTATTTACTCAGAGAATGTTAATATTTGTAAAAGAAATAATGTATTTTGAAATTTTGTGATCTTGCAGTAATGAACAATAAAATAAATTATAAGTTCAGTAGTAGCAAGCTACCACTTAGTAAGTCACAAAGCTGTTAAATATTACTATTTTAAATTATTTTAATCAATACAGATGTTAAACAACCAGCATATTCATGACTCTACAAAAACAGTTACTGTTCATAAATGTCATTAGTGTTTTTAAAAATTAGTAAATAAAAAAGTATTTCAACTCTAATCAAATGGTATTTAAGTAAAGCTCATGACTTTAAAATAAATATAGTGAATTAATTGTTTCATTGCGAGTTTACTTACTGATTATAAGCATTATTTTATCACAAGTTACAGCTTGTTATTGATTACAGCTACTGCAAGACAAAGTAAAGCATTTTATGACCACTGGGATTTCTTTGTTCTTGAACATACTTAACTATCAACTGACCCTCTACAACAGATGTTTATGATATTGTTTAAGAAAATTATGTGTCTACATGACGCAATAAAACAGGAAGACTACTCATAATGTTCATTAAATTATAAATATATGAGACAAAAGTTTTATAACTGGTTTATATGTAATATTCTCTTCAATCTTTTTATAACAAAATATAAAGATTTTCTATAACAGTTCAATCAAATAATAGGAAAAGGTATCACAATCCAAATTACACTCACTTGTATCACTAGCATACACTGTTGGGTCTGGTGAACAGGTCACTGTAAAGATTAAAGATCTTGTTGAAGTACTTACATTTCTCTTATCCTTTTATCATAATATGTATTAATATAGTTTAGTAGGATGTAATGTTACTAAATCATTCAATCAACAGTGTTGTACATATTACATAAGATAAAAAACTCCAAAGAAGTATGGTATACACAAACATTTCCATCTTATTTCCCACCATAATGATCCCTGTCAGTACACAATAATCACCATTTATGTCTGTGCTCTGAAGCCAAGTTTACACTCATAATGTTTGTTTGTTTTAAATCCATTTCCTGGGCAATCGCCAGGTTTTGGTAGAAATTTTTAAATGAGTGAATCTCACCTTATGTATATTTTTACCTTTAAACCTTATCTTGTATCAGACTTACAACACAGTTTATCATGCTTTTGCTCTTCCACTATAGATGTTCCTTAGTAACTGTGTAAAAATATAGCAATGAATGTTGTTACAGTTGGTGAATATATTAGTGACAAGTATGAACCTTTAACACACTATTTTCAACAGTAAAAACAAAAATTCCAATTTATAAATTGTTTCAAACAGAAATGCAACTTCTAAATTCCCCCAAAGCAAAATGTTTTTCAATGATGTGCATATTTCTTATTTAAACAAATTAAAGAAAAGTTTACAAAATATTTTTAACCAACTAAACATTTTTTTTTGGCTTTCAAGTTCACTTACAACAGCTAATTCTTGTAGGATTTAACAGACAAAAGAGACTGTAACTATAGAAATTTCTCGTTAATATATTTTTTATGGTGAGTCATATGTATTTTCACAATTTGTTCTGATAATACTTGTTTTTGTAGACACTAAAAATAACCCTCATACTATTGGAGAAAATGTTTTTTGTCAAAATAAACATTTTTCAGTATTGAAGTTTGAGTAAATGGATTACTTTTGTTCATAGCATGATAGACTTTTCTTTAATAATGCAAGTAATTAACTGGGTCAGTAAGATTCTGAAAAACAAAAGTACTATTTTGTAATTAAATGATTTTCTAATAGTGTAAACAGACACCTACTGTAAAGAATTTGGCCATATAAAAATATGACAGAGATAATAACAGGGCTTTTAAACACTTTTTGGTATTATCATAAATATGTTGAATAGCCTTGGATTATTTAAAAGAATTATCTATTAATATTGAAAACAAAATATTTAGGTGACAGCTCAGTAAGCTCCATCAAGTAACTGTCAATATTAATCATTTTGAATTAGTAATTATAAATAAGTATATTGATTAAAATTTCCCAAACATGTACAGTTATCCAAGAAATGCAGAGAGCCTTAAAACTATAACTTTCATTAAAATTTTTATAATTGGTACATAACTGTTAGTCACTTATGAAAATAAAATTTCATGTAAATGTGGTTTGCTTTCACATTTTGGTCAAGAATTGAAGAGATAAGCAAAATTGTAAAACAACATTATGAGATGGTAAATGAAAAATGGCTTATGTTTGTCTGAAAATGACTTGAGGTTTTTATAAGGTAATTCTGAGAACCTGCTTCCAAGTCTTTCTCATTATGTTTAATATTGTTGCAAGTAAAGGGATAGATATTTCTAGATTTTTCTGTCATGTATTATAAATATAAATATATGCAGATACAGAGAGAAAGTAAGTAGTGAAAATAAAAGTGAAGCTAGACTGGGTGATTGTGGATTTAGCCTTAAAGTGGGTATAGTGGCAACTTTTTAAAAGTATAATAATTGCAGCTTGTGTTGTGGTAATAACAAAGTAAAAAAATAATAATTTGTCTTGTCAATTGGGTTCTAAAGTAACTGAATCAGACTGTGTGGACTTTTGACGTAAAGTAGACAGTTATTTAAAACTCTTGATACAACTGTGGTAACATACAGGGTAATGCAAGTGAATTTATCAAAGCTTATATTGTAACAACAGAGTAGAGGAGAATATTTTGTCATGTCAAAGGGTGTTCTAAAGTAGTTGAACCCATCTTTGTGGACTTTGATGAAAATGAGACAATTATTTAAAGCTCTGGATACAACTGTGATAACTATTTGACTTGTTTTAAATATATTATTTTAAAACAAGTGGATTGTGTGCCAGCTGTTTATTGTTGAAATTTATTGCAAACAAGTTTTCGAGTAAGATGACATCAACAATATCACAAAAGCCTAGTACAACAATTAAACTACATACACAATGTATGACTTGTACAGAGTTACATAACAAAACTTGTCATAACTATTACTTTTAAAATAATTAACTTTAACACTCTTGTTATGAAAACTAAATAATAGTTAAATATTCAATCACTAAATAAACTAAATAATAACTCTTAAACTGAACAGTCTTGTATATCCAACAATCTCTTACATTAAGATTTTTAACTTAGAGCCTTGATGTATAGCTTCAGGCACTTTTATAAAAGTAAACATACTAAGATTAGATTTAATAAATACTTAAATATGATGTCTATTTGTTCTAAGATCTGCAACATTCAACTTACTATTCACATCAGGTCCTACAGGACATCCGTAAAACTCCACTCGTAATCCAACGTATGTATCTGACACATCTGTGTTTGCCTCTTCCACAGTAAGACGAATGTATCGAGCCTGGATGGGCTTGACAAGATCACTAACGGCCTCATCTCCAATATAAGTTAATGGAGTTTTCTTTGGAAGGGTTTTTATGTAAAAAAAAGTGTTTTCAATATTTTCTTACTGTAAGTAGTCTATGGTAGGGGTACTTACTGCTTAAAATAAGGCTTAGCTGTCTATTTCCTCAGTGGGAAGTATATTATATTAAAAATACCATGTAAAAGGCTTGTTCAAGAGTTGGCTCATTTTTAGAAAACTGGATAGATGGAAGAAAGCAGAGAGTTGTTATAAATGGAGTTAAGTAAAACTGGATTAATGTCATGAGTGGAGTACCTGAGGGCTCAGTGTTAGGACATTTGCTCTATTTGATTTACATAAGTGACATAGATGAAGGAATGGTTAATATATTATTTAAATTTACTGATTACATTAAAGTTTTGGGTGTTGCTGGCTGTGAGGAGGATGCTACTGCCTTACAAAAGGATTTGAATTATTTTGCGAATTGGGCAAATAAATGGCTATTAATTATAATAAATGCAATGTGATGCATGTGGGACCATCTTAAACCATCCAAGCAATGTGCTTTTACTAATAGCAGGGTAAATAGAAATTTAGGTTGTATTTATAGAAATACTGAATACAAGTCTAAAGAAGTTATAAAGTCATTGTATAGGTCAGTGGTTAGACCATGTTTGGAGTATTATGTTCAGTCTTGGACTCTTTGCCTCAGAAGGAACATTGAATAGTTGGAAATGGATGATACCTGGGATGGAAATATTATCATACAAGGATAGGTTAAGATCTGTGAACTTGTTTTCTCAAGGAAAGAGTTAGAAGGGATCTGGTTGAGGTGTTTAAGAATATTAATGGAATTGGCTGTGTTGAAAGCATCATCCTTTTTAATATTCAATGGTAAGAACTGTAAGACTAGGGGACACAAATATAAATTTTGACAGGGTAGGTGTCATCTTCAGCTAAGACAGTTTTATTTTTCTAATGGGATGATTGGCTTTTGGAAGGGGTTGCCTTCAGATGCAGTTAATTTAAGGGGGTTTAAAGGAAAATTGATAAATATATGAGTTGTAGGAGTTGGCTTTGAGATATTTGTTTTTATTAAGAGTTGAGTTTAACTTAGTGAATAGCATAGCCCAAATGAACCAGAAGGTCCCTTGATGTCCTTTAATGTTATGTTATATAATTCTCAATAAGTCAAAATATAAATATTGAATGGTGACCATGCAAATCATCTTAAATATTATTGCATTATAAGAGATGAAATAATTTTTTTTCAGTCTGGTTACCAATTAATAGTACATACACTATCCCATAACTATAACTACTGAGAAAACTGTTACTTATACATTAACTTCATCTACATCTTTACATTCAAAGAAATGGCATGAAACAAAATATCCAGATAACTGGTTCAAATGGAACAGCCAGCCTGAGCCAGATAAATGTTTCAAGTGAACCAGCCAGCTTCAGCCAGGTATTGTAAGATGAATGTTACTATGAAAAACATAAGAAATGCTCATACATAAATTTTGTTACATCTTACAGTCCAACAAGTTTTAAAAAAACAGTGAACTGAAACAAAATAATAAAAAATGAAAATGTAGTGTACTAACCCCAAATCTTCCAAAGTTACCTGTATCAGTTTAATTTGTGATTACTGTATTGTTATTATTTTAAAGTACAACACAGTCAAGAGAATATACTGTGTGTATATATATATATATATATATGTGTGTGTGTGTGTGTGTTAAAAAGTATAATTGAAACAAATTCTTATTAAG